TCGGCGAGGTGCACTGCGGGTACCTGCATATATTCCGCGGAAACTGCCTCGGGGGAAGCCGGCACGATCCCCAGCTACTCTAGCAGGGGTCCAGAGATGCTCCACAGGGTTAGCTACCAGGAGGCAGACCTGGGGGTCAGCCACTGACGGCGCCGCAGGGAACAGCAAAAGAACCGCCGGAAATCAGGCGCAGGCCGGCCAAGAGGACAACCAGCAGGAAAACGAAAAGGAGGAGGGACTGGAGCAGGGAGAGGAGGAGGGAGAGGAGGAGGGAGAGGAGGGCGATAGGGGCACGTTGCAGGCGGTGGACCAAACCGGTCTAAGAGGCGCAAAGCCGTCGCAGGTGGCGTGCGGCTCTAATTACACGTGGGTTCTGTGCGATGACGGGCGGCTCTTCTCCTGCGGCCACAATCAGTTCGGCCAGCTGGGCCACAGTAACACCTACTACTCGTCGTCCTTCACGCTGGAGGAGGTAGACGTGTCGGGTCTAGACGGTGCGATGCCGTCGCAGGTGGCGTGCGGAAATGGACACACATGGGTGCTGTGCAAGGGAGGGCGGCTCTTCTCGTGCGGCGACAATGGCTACGGCCAGCTTGGCCGCACGGGCAACAAGAGGTTGCTGCAAGAGGTGGAGTGTCCAGACGGCGCGGTCGCTTTGCAGGTAGCTTGCGGTGGTAAGCACACCTGCGTACTGTGCGAGGGAGGGCGGCTCTTCTCGTGCGGTCACAATACGTTCGGCCAGCTGGGCCTTGGCCACAAGGAACGCCAGCAGACGCTGCAGGAGGTGACAGAAGGCACGTCGCAGGACGGAGCGCGACCGTCGCGGGTGGCATGCGGCTATCGTGGCACGTGGGTTCATTTGTCCGAAGTAGGCCCTCCGCCTGCACAGCCTGAGGCACAGCACCCGCCCGAGGAGGCGTCTGAGAAGCTGGAGGAAATGCAGGACTCCAGGCTTAAGCGTGATCGCAGTTCTGGCGCGTCGTCCAACCCCGGGGGTTCCAAGCGGCAGGGCAGGGCGAGAGGGCAGGGCGAGAACGAATCCCCCGTACCGCAGCATAACCGCTGGCGAAGCGACGACCCACCCGACGTGGCTATCACAGTTCGACATATGCGGACGATTTTCGGCTTCAATCCTAATGACGAGCTGCTGGCGGAGCTGCTTCGCGCATGTGGCGCTGATGACCGCGACGACCTAAAGGCTGCCTGCGTAGATGCTTGCGACGGCCAGCGGCTTCGCAGCCTTCACTTCCAACGGCTCAGCTGGGCGGATCTGCATTGGCTAGTAGAGGAAGCTCTCGGAGGTAACGACGAGAACAGTGGCTTGTCTGTCGATGCGCTGGCTCGCAAGTTCATCGAATATCTACTACAAGATTGACCGGTCGCCTCGTAACACTAGTGCCTCCTCTCTCAGTTCTCTCAAAAAAGAAACGGGTGGTTTTTCTTGCTTTTATTTAATAAAAGAAAACACGCGTGACGCGAGAGAGAGAGAGAGAGAGAATTCTTGATACGAAACCACGACGACACACACCAGTCGACTCGCATCGGTTGCCTCCATGAACGGCGGAGCTATTCTCGCGTCCACACCACACCTGGCTCCAACGTGGACACGCCCATAGCTGGGGACACTACTAGGTCACGCATGGCATCAGAAGTTTTATCTCTGGGCCCCGAAAGGCATCTCTAGCAGCGTCGTTACGCATGCGCCCTCCCCTCCTGGGCGCATACGCCTCACGTCTCGACAGAGCATAAGCCCTTGGCGTGTGACGAGACGAGTTCTTCGCCATCGCAGCGAGCAGCAAGCCACTCTCCGCAGCAGCCGGAGGCATCGCCGCAGCACTGTCTGCGCCGCGGTCCCGCACCCGTCGACGAAGCTCCCCCCGCGGAAGACCGCGCGTAGCGACGCCTTGACGATCTCTCTCTCTCTCTCTCTCTCTCTCTCTCTACGCGTGACGCGCAGGACGCGAACGGGTGGCAGTCGCGAGCGCGCTCCCTTCTGGATGTCTCGCTCGACGCGCGGCTCGACCTCGGCTGCCGCCGCGGTGGCAGCCGTGGTGACCGACGTCTCCGTCGTCACCGCCAGCGTCGTGGCGGGGGTCGCTCCTTCCGCCGACACGGTGCGCGTGGAGGCGAGCGCTGTCAAGGTCGGCCCCGCCTCGAGTGGAGATGAGGACAGCAGCGACAGCGACGAGGAGGCGTGGCGGCGGGAGGGTCTGGTCAAGCACCTGGAGCGCAAGATCTGGCCCATCACGTGCGCCGTCATGCCCTTCGTGAACTCGGACCCGGCGGTCGCGGCGCGGTCGGCGCTCATTCCGCCGCCGCGGATGCTGCGGGGGAACCTGGCGCCGCACCAGCGCGTGGGGCTGACGTGGCTGCACACGCTCCACGAGCACGGCCACTCCGGCATCCTCGCCGACGAGATGGGGCTCGGGAAGACGGTGCAGACCATCTCGCTGCTCGCGACGCTGCTAGAGGCGGGCGACCCGGGCCCGCATCTGATCGTGGCGCCGGTGTCGGTGCTCGAGAACTGGCGGCGGGAGGTTGCGCAGTGGTGCCCCGAGATGCGCGTCCTCAAGTACTACGGCTCCGAGGCCGAGCGCGAGGAGATGCTCTCCGATCTCGCCGCGGCGGCGGAGGCGGAGGAGGAGGCGGAGGAGGCGGCGAAGCAGGCGGCGGCGGGCGGCGGGCAGGCGGCGGCGGCGGCAGGCGGCGGCGAGGGCGGCGAGGGCGGCGAGGGCGGCGAGGGCGGCGAGGGCGGCGAGGGTGGCGAGGGCGGGGAGGCGGCGGCGAGGAAGAAGCTGTCGCCGCACATTATCCTCTGCGCGTAGCACCGTCGTCGAGCATGAGCAAGAGGTGTGAACGGCGTCTCTTCACAGGCGCAGGTGTGAACAGGCGCGTACACCCTCTTCGAGCGCGACCACGAGAGGGCGAGGAGCGAGCGGCGCGCGCTGCGGCAGGCGGTCTTGTCGCGTCGCCGCGGCCGTTCGGCAGGGTATACTCTGTCCTGGACGAGGCGCAGCAGGTCAAGTCGATGCATAATATATAACACGTTGGTTTGGGTCAGGTACTTGGTCCTGGACGAGGCGCAGCAGGTCAAGAACAACCAGTCGAGCCGGTGCAAGAGCCTGCTCGAGCTAACCCTGACCCTGACCCTGACCCCTGACCCCTGACCCCTTACCCAGACACTGTCCCTAACCCTAACCCTGTCCCTAAGCCTAACCCTGCCCTTAACCCTTTACCCAGCCCCTAACCCTGCCCCTACCCCTACCCCACCCCCGTAGGTACAAGAACTTGCTCAAGCTGCGCGTGCGGCGCCGCCTTCTCCTGACCGGCACGCCCCGTCGAGAGTGCGCCGCGAGCTGCTCAGCCTTAATAATTAACTATTATTATTAAGGCACGCCCATCGAGAATGCGCCGCGCGAGCTGCTCTGCCTCCTCTCGTTTGCGGCGCCAAAGCGCTTCTCCCTAGAAGCGGAAATGCGCGTTCTCGTACTCCGACCAGTGCTCGAGAGGGCACGTACTCAACTGTGTTCGGCTGTATTCAGCCGTATTCGCTTCCCTCGTACTCACACGGTGCTCTGAATACTGTGCACACTACACCGAATCCCCCCCCCCCCCCCCCCATGTTCGCGCGTTATTACGTAGGCTCTTCTCGATCGCCGACGAGTTCGACCCGCGCACCAAGAAGCTGCTCAACCTCTTCACGCCCGAGGAGGAGGGCGACGTCGCCTCCGCCGTCCCGCGAGGGCGAGGGACGGTCTCCCGCTCCGGCGCGGCGGTCCGTCGCGGCCTTTTCTCTTTTCTCGCCTGTTGTCCAGAGCTGTCTCGTCGTGATAGGCGCACGGCGATGAGCTTTTGACGGCGTGTTTGGGGGGCGGGGGCGTGTCACTTGTCTTTCTTTCGCGTAGGCGCGGCGATCATCAAGTCGCTCGCGTCGCCATTCGTGCTGAGGCGACTCAAGTCGCAGGTGATAGCCCCGACCCTGGACTGCCGCGCTCGCCACCACCACTCTCCCCGCTGGTCCCTCGCCGTGTGCGTTTCACCCTCCTCCAGCCTCACCACCCGCACTGGAGGAAGTCTACCTGACTTTGCTTTGCCTTAGGTGATGGCGAGCTTGCCAAAGAAGACGGAGGAGGTGCTGACCGTGCCGATGCAGGAGGAGCAGAAGCGGCTCTACATGCGCATCCTCACCGACTTGCGGCAGCAGCAGGAGCGGCGCGAGGCGGCGTACGCGGAGCAGGAGAAGGCGAAGAACCGCGCTCTCCAGTCCGAGACCACCATTGAGCTGACCGTCACCGTGCGGCGCGGCGGCAACGGCGCCCTCGGCCTGAGGATGGACGACAACCGCGTTGTGTCGGTCAGCTGCTGGAGAGATTGCCCACAGTCTCCGATCTGCCGCGATTTTGCCGCAGCTATGCCGAGCTGCTGCCGAGATGTGACTGCAGGGGTAGCCGTTGTGGTGCCGAGGTGTGCCACGCCCCCCCTTTGCGTGCAGGTGAGCCCGGAGAGCAACGCCGCGGAGGTTGGCATCTTGGCGGGCGACCTGGTGTGGGAGGTGAACGGCAAGTCGACGCAGGGCTCCTCCTTCTCCTCGCTGCTGCCAGGGCCGGACAGCCCCGCGCCGATCAAGCTCAAGCTGCGGCGGACGCGCGTCGAGGGCGGCGCGGAGGCGGTGGAGGGCTCGGTGATGGCGGTGGCGGCGGTGGCGGGGTCGGTGGCGGAGGGGGCGGTGGCGGCGGTGGCGGCAGTGGCGGGTTCGGTAGCGGGTGCGGAGGGCGTCGCCGTCGTCAAGGGGGCGGCGGGCGCGTCGGTGCCGAGAGTCGTGACGGACGCCAAGGGGGAGCTGAAGGGGGAGGGCATCAGTCCCCCGCCGAACGTCGTCACCGACGTCAAGGTTGTCCTCTCGGCGCCGGCAATGTCCGCCGAGTGGATCCGCGACTCGTTTACGCGGCTGCGCAAGGCGGCGCAGCACGCGCTGCTGCTGCGGGGAGGCCGCTTCTACGACGAGGCCACATCTCCCCATAACTCCCCACATCTCCCGTATAACCCCATATCGCCCCGTATCTCGCCCCCCACGAGGCTGATGGCGCACAGCCCTACCTCCGGAGTATCTCCCCATCTCTCCGATCTCTCCCCATATCGCCCCATGTCAGGTGGCCACGCGGCGCATCGCTCGCTGCCTGACCTTCGAGGGCGCCTTTGCCGACGCAGGCCGGCTGCCGCCTTCGGAGGACGAAGTGATGGCCGAGCTGCGAGCGTCCTCCGACCTGCAGCTGCACTACTACTGCTCTCGGTACGCGGCGATCGCCGACCTGCAGCTCGACCTCGACGTGGCCGCCTTCGCGTCGGGCAAGGCGACCGCGCTGAAGAAGCTGCTGCCGGAGCTGCGCGACGGCGGGCACAAGGTTGTGATCTTCTCGCAGTGGACGATGACGCTCGACGTGCTTGAGCTCGTGTTGGGCCAGGTCGGCATCGAGTACCGCCGCTTCGACGGCTCGACCAGCGCCGCCGACCGGCAAGTCATCATCGACGAGTTCAGCCGCGACGGGACAGTGACGGCGCTACTCGTCACGACGCGCGCGGGTGGACTCGGCATCAACCTCACGTCGGCCGACACGGTGATTTTGCACGATTCGGACTTCAATCCGGCCGCCGACAAGCAGGCAATGGACCGGTGCCATCGGATGGGGCAGACGCGGCCGGTGCGCGTGATTCGGCTGGCGTCGG